AATGGGGAGGAGATCTCTACTAAAGATCTCATCCCCATTCCTTATTGTTCTTGGCTTGTCTATCTTTACACGTGTGGAGACTGTAAGGCCTCCTATATTGGCAAAACCAAACGCCATTTAAAAGTTAGAGCCTATGAACATATGGGAATTTCCATTAAAACTTAGGTTTACGTCTAAGGCTAAAAGAGAAAATCGAAAGTAGCAGTAGTAGTACGTGATGTTTAAAAGCAGAAAACTAGAGGATTAAATGTAAGGACATACGTATGAAGGCCCAATGGCTTTTATGGCAACTAAATGTATTTCATTTCCAAATGTAAATATAAAAATAAATATTTACTTTGAAATATTAACATTTAAAAGTTTAAGTTTTTTTTAATAAAAAGGTAACATTTGGTTTTACGTAACCCCCACAAGTGTGTAATAACTGTGTGAAGGGAAATCGTTTGTGAAATGTGGTTTCCAGTTATCTCGCCAGTTGCATATTTAGTGTTTAATCATTTGTGATACTTTTCATAAACACAGTGAGTTATTTTACAAAACAAGTATCAGCAGTATCGCATAAGACAATAGTTCTTTTTAATTCTATGCATACGGGGTCAGTCAAAATTACAGATCTTGTAAGCATCATATAACCATGAAACGTAAAACATACTATAACTCTGAATGTTCTATGTGTATCTTCATGAAATTTAGCATTCTTGTAGCAAGCATTACAATTTTTTGTACACGAAAATATGTTTTTAGTTACGTTTTATTTATGGATTTATGGAGTAAATCTGATAAAACTCTTGACTAATCTGAATGTAAGATGATTTTCATGTTAAGATTAAAAATACTTTTTTCACCTTAAAGATTTCAAATTTCATTTGCACAACCTCTAGAACATCGTACGTAAATTTCATAAATGTTTTTCCATTAAAGCTGTATATTGTGTCTGATATTTCTCAATCACGGGGAGTACAACGATGTTCTTTCACTACATTTACTCCAAAACCAATTCTTGTGGTACAATTGTCGTCTATTCTTCCGTTACTGATTTAGCAATTTAAAGAAAAATGACACGCAATTCACGATTTGACAGAATGTGATTCAACAAGTGATTTATCAGGCATAAAAAAAAGCCTCACCACCATCTAGGCTCATCACAAAAACGTATGTCTTTTGCACACTTTAGGCAACAATACATCCAACATAAATTGTAATGTTCTACTTGCTGCAAGACTCTTCATGTGCAAGTCTTAAGACCATAATATTGAAATCCTGGACGATTTGCACCGCTTTTTATTCAAAAGGAAAGCTATTGACAGTACCAGATAGCAAGCTTTCAAAGTTTATATGGATCCATCCATTGCATCCCTTTCCTCATTTACCATCTTCTGTTACTAGAGGTTAGGAATATGATGATAATGGTTCTCTTGTACTATTAAGAGGTCTGTAATAGTCTGTACTAATCATGACAACTTCGTTTTCCTTGTACGTAAGACCTAGGATCCTAGTTACACTACACTAATGCTTACCTTGACATGACCATGGTATTATGATAAACAAACTGCATCGAGTATTCTACATGTTACGCTCATCTAATGTTCGTCTATTACTGACTGGTAATTCCTGTTTCACCCTGTACTTAAGCTTTTTAAAGTAACATCAGATTTTTGTAGAAAATAGCTAACTTCAAGAGGTAATGATAACATCGTTTACACTAGAATTATGATTTTTTGAAATTACTGCTAGTTATTACGACTAAGAGATGACATTGAGCACCTCCCAGAAACACATAAAGTGGACTTATGTTTAAACTGACCGTAATGATAAAGTAGTTTTAAAGTTATCTCGACTGAAACAAGAAGAATAAAAATGAACAATTTAGTGGGTTGGTCACTTTCTAGTTTGGTATCTTAGCGATGATTTGTTTTCTGGCTTGTTGAGTAGAGAAACAAATGAATGTTAGTGCCAATAATCTTTTAAAGTAAAACTCTCTGTGATTGTTGAGTTTTTAACATGCATATATTATGCCTGATGGGTAGCATGGCCATCTCTACATATAGAATAGTCTACCGACTCTATGATAATACAGGCCTCCAAATGTAAACTTCATAAAAGTTGTTTTGGTTTTAATACCGAATTTTCCGTAATTCAGCTACGCAGATTTCGAAATTAACATATTTTTTTTCTATCACCTGAGGATTTTTTACAAATCGGGAAGAAAAAATTCTTATATAAATCAAATTATTATGTCGTTTCAAAACATTCTTAATACTTCTATTATCAGCATCAAAATTATCATTGCCTAATAACAATCTTTTGGGTACATATAAGCCATCTTTATTTCTTTTAAGAATATTATTCGGAGATTTATCAACTATTTGGCTTTACTAAGCATTAGCGATGAATTAACGGCATCATTGTTATCAGTTGTATCTTTAATATTTTTTAATTGATTATCATCAACATCATAATTACCATCATCAGTTAATTTAAAACCGATTCCAAAAGAACCTATAGGATCCTGAGATGATTCCTTATATAGATTGTAATACAAAAACCAATAACTTATTTATTATTACCAAAGAGTTCTCATAGTTTCGAACAATTTATTATAAACATTCAGTATTCTTTTTTTCTTTTCAAGCAGTAAGAAATAAACTTTTTTCCGCTTCACTGGAATTTGTTCGAGTTACCAGAAGATCTCAATCTTCAATTAGACACACTATTATATAAGAAACGTGATTCGAAATGAAAAAACATATTGTTTGGTATATTCTTCCGTAATTGGTATAGTTTACTAAACTTACAGTTTCTGTATTGTTATTATTTAGCCCAGCTGCTATGAAATCTGAGTAATATCTAAAATAATACTATAAACAAAACACTATAATCTTCAGTAGAATATTTATCATTGTTAATTTTAATCTACCCTTTTAACATATCAAGATTATCATGTTGTCTTTGTTTTGATTATTTTCCTTATCTTGAACTTGGCGAACAACATAAATGTGTCTAATTTCATCGCGTGTAGTATTTACAATATACAACCACTTGATCCATTCGAAACATTACTTTTAATAACTCTTACACCACTCGAATTGATTTCAATATCACTTACAGGTTTTAGAGTAAAAACTATTATATTTAACTTCTTGACTGGGATAGAATTTAATATGAGGTAACCATAACAAAATATCGTTTATAAAAGATTTATAAGTTGCATTAGCTACATCTGTATAAATCATATCCTAACTTTTACTTCCTCTAAAAGTAAATTTCACATCAATATTTGAAATATTTTTTTCTAAAATCATTAAAGAGTCCAAAATAATGTATAATAAAAATCTATAATTTCATTTTATTACTGTTTTTGCTAGAACCCATGTTTTTGTAAAACCTCTATTACAAAAAGGATTATGTTTAAATGTTGACACCAATTTGTTAATATTAGCCTTGCCATCAACATTATCCAATGTTGTTGTTCCATCATCATCAGTTACTAAAATTTGTTTACTTGGAACTTCTGAAATATATATATAATAAACATATTACTTGCTTCACTAGTGCTATGATCATTCGCAAAATTTATTAATCCTTGTGCACGATGTGCTAGACATGTTAATTCAGTTTCTTCAATTATAGTATTACCAATATATAATTCAGCTCTTGAAAATATATTTCTAGTATTAACTAACGTTGCATTATCAGTACCAATTGTAGTTCCATCTTGCTTTGCAATTTTTAATTCTGGACAAATATTGCCACGGGAATATAATATATTATCTTTTATATCTTTAATGTTGAATATTTAATCATCATCCTCTTTTTCAACGATAACTATCTTATCTTCACGATTTATTCAAAACTTTTTATATTTTTTTGATAATAATGAAGTATACTTATTAGATTTCCAATTCTTTTAACAAATTTTAAATCCTGTTACATATTGAGATTTATGTAAAATTGATTTTATATTTAATGGCTTTTTATTAAATATATTTCTCAATCTACTTTCTATTCTAGTCTCCACTTTTTTAGCTAATGCTTCTAAATCTATGTCTAAAACTTTCTCTTTTATTATATTTAAAATAATGGTAAAAATACCTTTCCCATAATATTTTTCTACTTTTCAAAAATAATTGGTGCTTATTATAATTCATTTATTGTCACTTAAAAGTAGCCTATAAAGAACTTGCTATTCTGATGTATAATCTTCATCATTATTCTATAAATCAAAGTTGATCTCTTA